CAGAGGCAGGGAGGCAGGGAGGCAGAGGCAGGGAGGCAGGGAGGCAGAGGCAAGAAGGCAGAGGCAGAGAGGCAGAGGCTTAAAGAGATGGGCTGTAGCTGGGGTTCACAGTGAGCTGGAAGCTTACCTTGTCCAAAGTGGCCACAAAAAGCAAGACGAGAATGAGGATGTGGAGGGCAGAGACCACTAACAGGAGGAGTGACATGGCTGCCAGACACCTGGCTCAGAGCAGGAGGGACAAACCTGCAGAGTGTGGGAGCACTCAGTCCTGGGCAAGAGGGCTGGGGTCTGGCCTTGACTCTAGAGTCTGAGGGAGGAGGGCTTGGGAAGGCTCCTGGGTGTGCGGGAGAAGGGGAGTAGGCTGAGCAGTCTTCCCTGCAGAGCAGAAGGGTGAGCCCAGGGCTCCTGTGCCCCTGGAGCAGCCTAGAGATTCTCCTACATGGACTTAGGGGACAGACGGACAGGACTGACGATGCATTGGTGCCTGTCCAGTGTCTTGTTCCTGGGCTATGTGGGTCGCCGTATGGAGGTTTAAATTGACGCCCCTTTCGAATCCATCAGGAGCAGGAGCTGCCCCCAGGACAGGCCTCCTTGACTCATGCACTCTCTTCTCCTGGGTGAGTCATGGGTGACTCATCCCCCCTTCCTCCAGCCCCTGACTGAGTCTCTGTGGTCCTCACCCCACCCTACTGCGGACCTAAGGCTCTGGACACTTGGGGAGATGGACTAGAAGGGGAAGGGGGAGGTCTGAGTGGTGAGACCACTCCTACCACCCCTGAGTGCCCAGAGAACTCAGGCCTGGGAACCCTCCTGCACCTCACCCCTTCATCTCAGGAGAGAGCGGGAGACCCCAAAGGGGAGGCTACCAGACATCTCCCATGGTGTGCTCTTTTGGGACCACAAGTCCTCCAGATGGTCCTACTCCTTCCTGTACCCCCCACCAAAGGCTGAAAGGTCACTTCAGCTACCATTGTCCTCGGGAGCTGAGTGGAGGGTTTCTTCCTGCCTAGGATGCCCCTCCCACGGTGCCATGTCGCCCAGTAAATAAATCCTGTCTGAATAACGGATTGCAAACTTACCGAGAGTCGCTGAAGAAGTCAGACTTGGAGTCTGTCCTCGGTTGGGCCTCTTGCCCCGCCCTTCTGCTCCCTCCTTCCAGCTGAGGCCTGTGCCTCCCTCAGCTGCCGTCCTCCCGCCCCTTGCTAGCACCCTTCTCCCTCTCCTTTCCCCTCCCTCCCCTTCTCTCTCTCCCGTGGTGGTTTCTGCTTCTCTTAACTCTCAATATATACCAACCCGTTTATATCCACTTTGGCCTCGCCCAGCTGAGTTCTGTACTCAGGGGAGGGCACAAGGACTTGGTTCCTGATTCTCTGCCCACCTAGTCATACAGTGGGCATGTTCTGGGACCTCCTTTCAGGGCTCAGATGAGAAAGCTTTGGGGCCCTGGGGTGGGGCACATGACCTCCTTGAACAGAATGCTTGCTTTCTTTGATGGAGTTTGGGGCTGAGGATGACACAGGAGTCTGTAGAAGGCCAGACTCCTGTGACATAGGTCAAACTTTGGACTGACTCTGAGGTGGACAGAAAGTATGAATCCATGGAAAGGAGCAGGATGTAGCCTTTAAGAATGCCAACGATTTTCTGGTTGTGTGACTTTGGGTAGCTTATTTCCTTATCCCAGGCCTCGGTCTGCTAATCTGTATAGTGGGTACACTATACCGCCAGTAAAGAAAATAGAGTACAGGAATAATGACTGGGTGGGTGGATGGATGGGGGCTGACTAAGAAAAACAGGCTATTCCTGGAAGGTCTCTTGGAGGATGTGATATTTGAGCTGAGATTCAAGGAAGGGAGTCACTTGGACACCAGGGAGAAAAGAAGATTGTTCGGGCCTTGAGAACAAGCTCCTGTTGTTGGGGGAGCAGACAGAGGGCCAGTGTGGCTGGAGCACAGGCAGCCTAGGGTGTGGTGAGCAGGGACATCGGAGGACTCACTTGACATTCATGTGGAAGCCGGATTTTCCTCTGAGCGTTATGGGAGGCCATTAGAATTCTCACAGCGCTCTAGTCCCAGGACTGTAATGTGAACTGTCTCAGACGCTGAGTTAGGGGAGATGGGGGATAACTGAGAATATCTGCATTCCTGGGCAGGTGACCAAGTTCTGGTTCTGATGAAGGAAGGGCTTGGGGACCCGAATGATGGGATGTGTGGACCGATTGAGAGAGCAGGAGCTGGGCCCACACAGCACAGACTAGGAGTCCTCACTGGCTGTGTGATCCTAGGCAAGTTTCTGCGGACCTCTGCATGGTTCGGTAGTGCAGTGGGTAGCATCGGTCTAGAGCAAGGCTTGGCAGTGTCCTGCAGCTTAGAGCACGCATTGGGGCTCCCGTGGAGTCAGGGGAACTCTGCTTCAGAGGCTCTTGAAGAAAGGGCAAATACTTGGGTGCCTTGAATCCCAAAGCTAAACTTTGGAAAGAGTGGCTGAAGGGGGAACAGACTTGGGGAAGCTGACCCTAGGGTGCTTAGTAGACAGTGGGTCACTGTGGACAAAATTGGGGGCTTGGAGTGGAGTCTTGTGTTCCTCTGGCATTGCAGGGACAGGAGGTTACATCCCACGCCTGGGAGCAAGGAAGATGCTGAGGAAGCCTGAACAGATTTAACACTCCTTGAAGTTTAATCAGTTCAGCACTTGGGGTACCTAGAAGAGGCGTTTAGGGAATCCCCAACAATAGTGACCGGTAGAAGTTTAAGTATCTGGCGACCAAGGGTGGTGGCGGGATCTCCCCCGCCCAGGCCTCGGAGGAGTTCTGCCTCGCAGCCACTTCCTCCCACAGGAAACCGCAGGCGTCAGGCACACCCAGCCGGCAGGCTGTGGCGCCCACAGCCCGCTCGCAAGAGAACCACGTGGGATGAAGAGCACGGCCAGATGGAGGGTCCGATGGAAGCTCCGCCCACTTCACTTCCGCCTCGGCCCTACGAGCCACGAACCGTTGCTAGCGCGCAGGCGTAGTGAGCCTGTGTAGGAACAGATCGTGGTGAGCGTTCCCCGAACCCTAAATTCCCCAAATAGCCAGGCCAAAGCAGACTTTTCTTGGACCGGTGCCGAAGGACCCTGCCTAGCCCTAGTCTAGTCTTCCGGAGGCCGAGCTCCACGCACCCAACCTGACTTTCAGCACCAAGCCTCCCTCCAGGACGTCCCAATGCGCTGCGCTCCTTTTAAACGACAGGGCCCGCCCCAAAGCCCGCCTTTTCCAGCCCCTAAGCTCCCCCTTCTCACTAAAGTCCCCGCCCTGCAGGCCCTCCTTAGTCGCCTCCTTAGTCCGCTCTCCCAGGACCCTGACCCTCCTCCCGGCCCTGCAGTCAGTCCCTCCCTCCGCTTTTACAACACCGGACCTCCCGTAGCCTCGCCCTTTATCCTTAACTCCCCGACCCCAGCTTCAGCTCCTTACAGACGCCTGGCTCCTTCTAGGGCAGTGCTTCTCCACCTCCCTAATGCTGGACGCTTAAATGCAGTTCCTCATGTTGCGGTGACCCCCAGCCTTAAAGTTATTTTCGTTGCTACTTCATAGCTGTTGATTTTGCTACTGTTAGGAATCGTAATGTGAATATCCGATGTGCAAGGTGTTTGATACGCGACCCCTGTGAAAGGGCCCTCGGCCCAGGGGTCCCGACCCACTTGTTGAGAACCTGTTCTAGGGTCTTCACAGCCCCGCCCTGCCAGCGCCCCTGGCTCGCCCCTAGGCAGGCATCCCCTCAGTCCCGCCCTGCTCTCGGCCCTCCCCTGCCGCTATCCTCAGGCTTCCTTGGCCCCTTGTCTCCCCAGTAACCAGATCACAACAGTGAGCGTGGAGCAGTTCGGATAGGTCAGGCACTCAAGCAGGTAGAGCCGAGACCTCGCCCCCGCCCCCAGCTCGCCGCTCAGAGGTGCGGAGAGGCGGCCCGGGCACCGAGTCAGAGTCAAGCGGCGGGACCCAGACTGTATGTTTGGGTGAGCGATGTCCCGGAGTCGAGGCCCAGGGAGGCCGCAGTGCTGTTGGTCGTCCTGCACTCTGACTCGTATGCTCTGATGTCCCCTACAGGAGCGCCGCCTCCGTGGCCACGATGCGTTTAGGCATGTCAACCAGGAGCGCCCGCTCCGAAGAAGGAAGCGAGGTCTTCCTGGAGGGACCGGGTAATTCATGATTCCACTTCTCTGAAGTTTCTCTCCTGTTCTCTCCAAGTTCCAGAGCCAGGGCTGGGGAGGCCTCCCAGGAGCACCCTTTCCTGAGGTCAGATTAGACAGAGGGGGACTGCTGACGTGTGGAGGGGCCAAGCCAGGCAGTGGGGGTGGCCGGGAAGACCTCGGACTTCAGAAGAAGTTTGAGTTCCAGCATCCAGAAATAGCCAGGGGAGGACCGCTGAGATGGTTCAGCGAGTAAAGGTCTTGGCACCAAGCCTGACAGCCCGAAGAACCCACGTGATGGAAGAAGAGCAACAACTCCTTCCGGCCCCTCCTTACACTACATAAGTGTGATTTAAGTCAGAAAAAGAGAGGGCACCAGCGTGGTGGCGCACGCCTTTCATCCCAGAGTCGTCAGGAGGCGGATGGAGTTTGCGTTTCAGGTCAACAAGGGCTACATAGTAAAACACTGTCTAAAAAAAAAAAAAAAAAAAAAAAAAAAAA